TCGTGCTGCGCATACTTACCCGTTCTTGAGCAATCACGATCCAAAAAGTGTCCACACTTATATGGTAGGCCACTGTAACTCTGGTAAACATAATATTGTAATTTAGTAGAATTAATTCATAACTCTGGTAATATAATTTTGGTAGAATTAATTAGTAACTCTGGTAAACATAGTTTGGTAGAATTAATATATAATTCTAGTAAACATAATTTTGGTGGAATTAATTTGTAAGTAGGGTTGTTAAACTATAACTGACAATGTAATTTACATGTAAGTTACACTGTAACTTACTGTAACTTACCTGGCCTATATGTAAGTTACAAAATACAGTCTTTCTCCTCTATAATCACCTCCTTTATAATCACAACTCCTATATTATCACGCAAAGTTTTGACCCAAAAATTTTTTATAAGAAAAAACCTCTATATAATCACAAATAAAGTATAATCACTATCACACTATATAATAAAAATAAAATACATTTATATATATATTATCCCTTTATAAAATCACACTTCAATTAAATAACAACATCAATATATATTGATATATCTGCGTACAAATTCATAGAAAATACTTAATTTAAAAACTTTAAAATAACAGGGTTTACTATCTTTAGATAATTAATTTTGTGATTTATTTATTTTTTTGCTTTAATAAAAGATAACTTAGCAGAGTTTAACTCAATTAGAATCTACTATCTCCACTTTAACGTTTCTCTCTAATTACCCCTGATAAGTCAAATTCGCATAAAATTAGTAGTCTAATCCAGTGATCCTAACTTAGAGCTTTGTGACATAATCTAGAGCTCTATTTGACCCTAATAACTCGGACCAAGTCTTCTACACCTCTTTCATAGCCTTTCAATATTAGATTTAAATAGAGTTTGATTGTTTAATGTGTTGATCTAAGATAAATTGTGTTGGCTGATATCTGTATTACCCATCTCTATAAAAAAAGCTTGTACAGTTATTGTAGGCATTGTCCAAAACAATGTTCGGAAATGGAGTCGATTTTCTGAACAGGGTTTATGTTTGTACTGTTTTCATATCGCATTTGTACAGAATGTAAAAAATAGAAATTTTTTGATTGAAAATTAACGTATAAAAATGTATAAAAAATATTCATCCAATAAACAGCCTTTAAATGCTCGAAACGGAGTCGATTTCTGAACAAAAAATTGAATAATTTCAGTATTTTCTGAATAATTCCAAGAGATTCATTTTTATAGGGCATATTTTGTGATTCTGAATCAGTCATCCATACTCACAACGTGCATCTAATATAGCAATAAAATTGTAAATATGCACATTTTTTATGCCAAATATACTAGATGCATGTGTAAGATTACAAGTCAAACTTGCAGCTAAACTTAATAAAGACTTGACATTTGGAGTCAAGTCAAACTGGACTGAACCTTTTACATTCATAGATTCAGAGCATCACGTTAGTATAAATATAGAAATTTAGTAAAGATTGACATATATAATGGTTTTGCATCCTTTATATATATAACATATACATAGCTAAGAAAATAATGCAAGCAAAATGATTATGAATATGTCTTAAAATAATAAATTGTATAAGTAGAAATGCTAGTTCTTTGAAGTCACTATTTAATCTGATATATGTGCCAGAGCATTTGACAACTTTACACATATGTTATTGTTAAGTCTAACCAAAAACTTGACTAATAAATAGTTACAACCTTTCGCTTATATCTTTTACTTGCAGCTAAATAAGATGCCAATTTTTAAATTATTAACCATAACATAATTTTCTAAAGTATGATATGTAACTTAACAAAATATAATACTACATTCAGAAATTAATGCACAGATTTTAGTTTATTTATTTTAGATATGTATTTATTTTTCATATAACTAATGTATACAATTTACTATATAATAATGGTAAAACTATTTAATAACTTAGTTTTAATAATCATCAGAACTATCATAGTTATCAGAAAACCTATAATAATAAGACAAATTATTGTCATCAAAGAAATCATCATCACCTGAAAAATTGTCACCTGAAAAATCATTGCTATCAGAAAAATTATTGACACCAAAAAAATTATTGTTATTAGGAAAAACATTACTGTCATCAAAAAATCCTGTTTCATTAAAAAAATTATTATCATTAATAGACATACTTTGATCTGCTGTTTTAAAAAAATCTGTAATAGGTTTTTGATTCATAGACTCAGTAATTTTTCGCTTCATTAATGATAAGTATTTACAAAATACTTTTAAATCATTATTATTGAAAAAGAAATCGTCACACATTTGTTGTTTAGCAAACAATATAAAACTTTTCAATCCACTTATTCCTTCAGTAGCAGTGATTTTTGGCAGTTCTTTGTCAGAATCATCTGAATCTCAAATTGTTCTGCTAATACGGTTTCAACAATCTGGGTATCATTAAGTGTTTCTTCTGTAGGAATATGAGTTTAATTAACTTCTCTATATGCATCTATTTCTCACGCAACTGTATCTTCAGTAAGATCAACCACTAATTCATATATTTCACTTTCCTCATATTCAATTAATTCTAAGCACGTATTTTGTGCAAGTTCAACATTATCATTTGATGCCAAGGGTAAAATACCAGTCTTCATCCAACAATTTTCCATCATTAACTCTTTCACTTTATCCCACGAAGCTGCTACATAATTGATGGCTTCATTAATATTTAATTTATTTTAACAGAAAATAATAAATTTTAGTTTATAAAAAATTATATTTAATTTTGAATATGCAATACTTACTCAGAATCTCGAATGTCTAGTCCCCTCTCAAATTGATCTAAGATATGTTGAATATTTTTTTTTTGATATTTTGACTTGAAGCATTTAATAATTCCCACATCTATAGGTTGAACAGGAAGTGTATAAACATTCGCATGGCCTCTGCTACATTTGTCTTTACTTTGTTGAACAGTATTATGATTATCATCATGACCACGACCATGGCCACGACTATGACCATGACCACGATCACGACCATGGCCATGATCATGACTATGACCACAACCACGACTATGACCACAGCCATGACCACGACCATGACCATAACCACTTTTATTTCTAGAATGCAGCTTCTCAGAATCATTATGACTAGACTCTTTATCAGATGAATATGAATTTGGATCATAATTACTTATCGCATTATTAAGTAAAAGCAAAATTTTTCAATTTTCATATTTGAATTGGCTGTCAAGATCTTTCAACCATTCTAAAAATATATTACTCCACATTCATGCCTTTGAGTTAGCATGATATGTAACAGGTAGTGTAGAATGATTTATTCCAGATAATGCTCGTGGTTTAATTGAAGATCCTATTACAAAAGGCTTTAATTTTTCAGTACTAGTAGCATTACATGCTAAAAGAATAGTAATACAAGTATGATCCCAAGTTTATTAACAATAAAAAAGGTTTTAGTTTAAAGAATAGTTTTTAATCAAATTTTACAATAAAAAACAAACTATTATTAAATTAATAAAAATTACTTTCCTTTTTCTATCCTGAACGGGGTCGAGATGCCAATGTTTTGTTGGGTGCTATTTGAAAAAACAAACCCATTTCATTCGCATTAAAAACGTTATTTAATGCATATTCTTGAATGATATTTTGCAAATTGCATCTGAATTCTGGAAGATTACTTGTTGACACACTACCAGCCTCCTTATATAATTAAAATTTTTGCAAACTATTGCATTTTTTAAATTGCCTTTTCCAACTATTAGAGAATTTCATTTCATTATCAGGTAGTGATAAAGTTTTAAAAAAATAAGCAGCCTTCTCTTTGATAATTGCCTCAGTTAAAAATAACCTATTATTAACAACCTGTTCAACCTATAACTTCATAGCTTGGTCTAGCAAAGGAAATTTTACTTTTCTATATTGAAAAGTACTTGATGTTATCTCATTTTCACTAACGGCTAACCATTTATTTTTCTCTTTAAGAATTTTAGAGATGGTTGAACGATCAAGATTATGTTGTAAATCTTAAGCATTAAAATACTCTGTAATTTGTGTTTGTGTTTTATTAGGGTTTTTTATATGATACTTGCAAATTTCATTTTTTAGACTATTACTAACTGCCATGCATGTCTGTTTAGTAGATTGATTGGATATCATAATTGTAATAACAAAAAAAACAGTGTAGCCAAGAAATATAAAGGATATATTCCTCTTATATATATTAGAGAAATTCTATATATCCTTAATGTCATTAAAAAGTTTTACAGTATTTTGCTTTCATAAATACACACAAAAAAGGCATATCATGTCTTTGTATAATTTAGAGAATAAGGTTAGTAGATAATTTCTCAAAACTGGTGAGAATCGATTTGTTCATTTATTATATCATATTAGTCAGTTCTCAATCTATTGTTCATTGATTAAATAAATACATTGGTGATTAAATAAATATATCAAGTGTTGGAAAATAGGAATTATTAACATGTTCGTATGCTCACTTAAATATAACTTGTAGAATACGTATTAATCAGCTTGCCAAAAATACACAAGCAATTATTAATGTTAATATGTAGAAAAGATTTTTTTTCACATATTCTAATTATGTATTTAAATAATTACATATTTATAACGTTTATCATTTATCTAATTTAAAAGCTAATTACATAATTTATTACATCTATCTAACAATAATTTATGATCAATCAATAAATAATCACATAATGATAACTGATATAATGTACATATATACCTCTACTTGATACTATATGGGAACGGCCACAGCAAAAGCAGGGGATGGGACTATATAATATATAGTCCCATCCCCTGCTTTTGCTGTGGG